GTGACGATTCAACTCAAGTAGAAACTGGAAGTTCATTTCAAACAGAAGATAACATTGTTGGAAAAAGACGCACTTTAGTTGTATGGAATCACTTTAAGAGACAAAAAATAGATGGAAAGTGGAAAGCCATTTGCACTTATTGTAGCTCAAAACTTTTGGGGGAGGTAAGGCAAGGGACATTACACTTGATGGCCCACTTTAGGTCTTGCAAACTTCAAACAACTCGAGACATCACACAAGCATATCTCAAAACAGAAAAAGTTGGGAGTGAAACAATAGTTGTTGGCAACTATGTATTTAATCAAGAAGTAACAAGGCGTGCCCTTGTTAAGATGATAGTTCTACATGAGTATCCAATGTCAATGGTTGATCACATGGGCTTTAAAGAATTTTGTCTTGCTTTGCAACCTTTATTCAAGGGGATTTCTCGAAACACTATAAGAAGTGACATTATGAAGGCTTATAATGAAGGAAAAGAGAATATAATGAAATTGTTATAAAGAATCAAAGTCGAATTGTGATTACTACTGATGTGTGGACTGCTAGTAACCAAAATAGAGGTTACATGAAGATCACTCTTCACTTTATTGATGATTTATGGAACCTACAAAGTCGAATTATGAGGTAATGTTTCTAAACTATATAACTACAATTTCTAATATTTTCTTTACTTGTTTATGAGATTATTAAAATATTTATCTCAATATTATGTTCATTTATGTGCCTGCTCCTCATACTAGCAAAGTTATTGCTGATGTCTTAGTTCAATGTTTGATGGATTGGAATTTAGATCGAAACTTGTCTACTTTGACTGTTGACAATTGCACTGCAAATGATGCTATGATTGAGCGAGTTTTAGAGAAGATTTTACCTAGGACTCTTATTTTAGGTGGCCAATTATTTCACATGCGTTGTTGTTCTCATATATTAAATCTAATTATTAAAGATGGTTTGTGTATAATCTCTGATGCCATTGAAAAGATTAGAGAAAATGTTCATTTTTGGACAACAACACCTAAAAGAGAGGAGAAATTTATAGAGACATGTGGTCAAGTGAACATTCCATTTAAGAAAAAATTAGTTCTTGATTACAAAACTAGGTGGAATTCTACATTTTTTATGCTTCAAGTTGCTACACAATATGTGACACTCTTATTTTCTAGTACTTTGTAGAATGTCGTTTTCCCAAAAATATGTGAAATTAAGTTGGCTTTGATTGAGTGGCTTTCCAGTTCTAATTCCATTATTCATCAAATGGCTGCAACCATGATTACTAAATTTAATAAGTATTGGGATGTGATCAATGGGGTGATGACTATAGGAATTGTATTAGATCCTAGGTACAAAATTGACTTGTTAGATTATTTTTTCCCCTCTAATTTATGGAGAGAATTCTGATTATGAAACTGAGAGGGTAAAATCTATTTGTCAAGATTTGGTAAAAGAGTATGCCATTAAAGCCAAGGGTAAAGAATTGGCTGCTTCATCTCAAAGTTCAAACCCAAATGTAGTGGATCTAGGTGTTCTTGGAAGAAAAGAAAGTTGGAGGTCAAATTTTACAAAACATAAGATTGCAAAGAGAAGTGACACATTAAATTTCAAGTCAGAATTAGAACATTATTTAGAAGAGGCAATACTTCCTGATTCATATGTATAATTTGATATCTTAGCTTGGTGGAAGACTAATGGGTTAAAATACCCAACCTTGCAAATACTAGTGAGAGATATTCTAGCAATTCCCATCTCAACTGTTGCTTTTGAGTTTTCATTTAGTAATGGTGGTCGGATTCTTACTCCACATCGCAGTAAATTACTTTCAGATATTGTGAAGGCATTGATGTGTGTTCAAGGCTGGTTATAGACTAACATGGAAGGTAATGAAATTAACACTTTTAATTAGATATTTTAATTAAGTGATTGTTAGAAATTTTTAATGAACTTATTATGTTTTTTAGGCTCTTCAAATTTAAAAATGGACAACATGGAACTTTATACAATGTTGCAAGATATGAACATTGATGAACTTAGTAATTTCTTTAATATTTCATTCAGAAATAAACAACAATATCAATTGTTAGTGAATTTGATTTGTTTATTTTTCAGGAATCAATCGGACAAAGTGGAGTTATTGATCCAATCACTAATTAAAGAACTTCTATTGTGTTGAACGTGATTTAATATTTAATTTTGTAATTTTATTTGGACTTGTATGAATTTGAGTTTACTTGGACTTTGTTTGAAACTTATAATAGTGATGTATTGTATTTTATTTGGATTTATTTGGACGTTGTTATCTTTGATTGAATATCTAAAGTTAAGTTTTATATATAGATATTTTATAGATTTTTATATAGATCTTTTTTAGGTTTTAATAACTATACAATTTTTTATAACTTTATACCATTTTTATTGATTTTTATACAATTTTTTTTATAGTTTTTTATATTTAAATTAATTTGTTAAATATTTTTAGAATTTTTTTTAATATCCACGAGTACCCATGGATATCCGCAGATATTAAAAAATATATGCGAGTACCCACATAACGGATACTCGCACGGATATGGGGCAAATATTTATCCAGTGGCGAGGGTAATAGGGAGCTACTACCCGTACCCGCCCCGCCCCTTTGACATCCCTAATGATGACCCTGGTGAATGTAAAACCCTAGCATTACCCTCATGTCCAGAAATTAGAGATTGGCAAGTGGAGAAACTCCTTGCTAATAGGTGGATTTGACCTAGTACGAGTCCTTTCTTCTCTCCAGTATTATTGTTGAAGAAGAAAGATGGAGGATAGCAGATGTGCGTAAATTATCGTGCTTTAAATGCAATTACAGTCAAGGATCGTTTCCCACTACCCCCAATTGAAGAGCTTCTGGATGAGTTGGGTACCGTTAGATATTTCTCTAAATTGGATCTTGCATCTGACTTCCATCAAAGACGCTTCCAACTTATTGATGAGTTCAACACAACCTTTCATCCTCACTCGGGACATTACGAATACAAGGTCATGCCGTTTGACCTTTATAATGCACCCTCCACCTTTCAGACCACCATGAATGAAATTTTCAAGCCTTTGTTGCAGAAAAATGCCATTGTTTTGTTTGATGACATCTTAGGATTTACTCTTGATTTAGAGACTCATTTAGGCGATTTCGTTTGGTTTTTGAGACTTTGAACCACCATGAGTTTTTCTTGAAGCCGGAGAAGTGCTTAATTGGCAAGTTACGAGTTGATTATTTAGGTCACGTTGTGGCTAGTGACACTGTAGCTCCCGATCCTAGTAAGATTCACACGTTGATTGACTTGCTTGTTCCTCATACTCTTAAGAGTCTTCGAGCGTTTTTGGGGCTCATTGGGTTTTATCGAAAATTTATCAAGGGATATGCCTTTATCGCTCTTTCGTTGACTAATCTCCTTCGCAATGACACTTTCAAGTGGTTGAATAAGGCTCAATTGGCCTTTGATACTCTAAAAGTTGCCATGGTTTCTGCCCCAGTTTTACAATTACCTAATTTTGATCAATTGTTCATTGTCTAGATGGATGCATCTAGTACTACTGTGGGACCAATTTTTCTTCAAAATGGGCACCCCATTGCTTTTTTCAGCAAGGTGTTTAGTCAACGCATGTCTATGGCTTCTGCTTATTTACGTGAATTGCATGCTATCACTAGTGCGGTCAAGAGGTGGAGGCAGAGATTCATCTTTCAAATCGATCAATGGAGTCTTAAGGAGTTGCTGACTCAAGTAATTCAAACACGTTAACAACAATTTTATTTGGCTAAATTACTTGGGTTTGATTATGAAATATAGTAAAAATCGGCGAACATGAATGTTGTTGTTGATTCTTTATCATGCTCAATGGGTCCTCCTCACACCACACTACATGTGCTTACTATTCTTCAATTTGAGTTTTTAGAAGACTTGAAACACGAGATGACTTTGGATCCTGTTTGTGTATGCTTGAAAAGTCATTGTGCTGATAATCGTTCAGATTTTCCTGATTATAAGGTGATTGATGATTTATTATTTCATAAAGGACGCATTTGGGTTAACCCCAAGTCTCGATTTTGTTCCTTGTTACTTCAGGAGTATCATGGGTCATTATTACGTGGTCACGCTAGAATCAAGAAGACCTTAAGACGCCTCACAAAAAATTTCTGTTAAGAGAGTGTCTCTCAAGACGTCTATTAAATTTGTTTCTAATTGCTCTGTTTGTCAATGTTAAACCAAGTAATAAATGCCTTGGAGGATTATTAGACCCCCTTCCTATCCCAAGTAGTGTGTGGGAAGACATCTCAATCAATTGTATTAGCAGCTTTTGGAAGCAATTATTTACATTAAGTGGAACACTTCTGCGAATGAGTTTTGCTTATCATCTGTAGACCGACGGACGAACAAAAGTGATCAATCTTACCATTGAGCAATATCTGCGGGCTTACACGCACCATAAGCCAGCACAATGAACTTATTTTCTTCCATGGGTGGAATTCCATTATAATACTTCTACCCACTCTCGTTCTGGGTTGACTCCTTTCCATATTATTTACGGTAAGCCCCCATCCTCCATTCCTCAATATGTGACTGGTACTTCTTCTATCATTGGTACATATTTCTTGTTTACTACTCATGAGGAGCTCTTGACCTTCCTCCATGAAAAATTGAGGAAGTCACAAATTCGTATGAAAGAGTTGGCTGACCAGCACAAAAGAGAGGTGAATTTTAATATCGGTTCCTGAGTTTATGTCAAATTATGGTCGTATCATCAAATCAAACTTATCGGAGAAAAATATCACAAGTTATCTAAGCGATTTTAAGGCCCCTTCCAAATTTTGGCCAATGTTTGGGCATGTTGCTTATAAATTGACATTGCCTCCTTCTTCCCGTATTCATAATTTATTTCATTATTCAATGTTGAAGCTTCACAAAGGCCCTCCTCCACAACAACTTGATACTCTTCCTCCACTATCTATCAACAACAACTCTGTTGTTTCACCAATGCTGTTTTTGGATATCAAATTCATTGTTACTGATGGCTCACAAAGACGTTAGGTTCTTGTGCAATGATTAGAATGAAAATCCATGTCTTGAATTCATTGGAATGTTTATTTGCTAGAAATACTCTTTTGTCATTTGAATGAGGAGTATGATGTTTTTTTGTTATTTATTATTCTGTTGAAAGTTTTGCTATATAAACCATTATGCTAAATGAATAAGGAGATCAAAATATCCATTTCAATTAGAATATTTGTTTCAATTTCTTTCTCATTCTTTTTCTATATTTGTCCTTTTCTAATAGATGTGTTCTTGACATTATTAGATAATCGTAAAAAAGATTGGGTTCTCAATCTCAACACTTTTCATTAGATTTTATTATATATTTATTAATCTACTTTTGTACAATAAAGTTGGGTCTTTCAATCTCTACGTTCTTAACTTGTAAGTTCTAGTAGTTTGATAAACAATTCTAATGACGAGAAAAAAGATTTATAATGTCATTTTTCTTTATAAAACTTTTGAACAATAGTTTTACTTGTTACTCTTAATTATATTAGTACATATGTTTAAAGTGTATATGACTTGAAATTTTAAGTTGAGAAGAAATAAAAAAAATTAAATAATTTATAAATAAGAGAAATTATTAATCTTATAAGTTAAGATTTTTGGTTGAAAACAATTATTTAATTCATATTACATTTTTAAATTTTTTATCAAATGGTGAAATTTTATGTATCATTAATGAATAAACATTTATACAAGATATATATGAATAGATATTACAAATACTTTATTAAAATTATTATTATCAATATATTAATTTTTTTAAAGTTGAATATATATATATATATATATATAACATAGTTTGTTAGTGACATTTTGAATATGTTCAAATTATTTACCCTAACCCAACATTGTCATTCCAAAATATAAACTTTCTGTAACTATCTTTTAAACATAATGGTAAAAAGTTTTAAAATATTCATTTTGAAATTATGTAAAAGAATAATTAACATAATTTTGAGTAAAACATTAGGAAAAAATATATTCCAGAATCATGTAATCCCGAATGAAATGAAAAAAAAAAAAAAATACCTCTTGATTGATGATCAAGGTTCAGTGAGCTGTTCACCCTGTTAACTTTTGGGTCGTGACCCACATATTGGGCCGAGTGCAGTGGCCGGCTGGCCCATTTGGACATCTCTTCAAAACCCTCCCTAAACCCTAAAACCAATTCCTAATCTCAGGAGCTACAGAAAAGACTCGCCATTTCGATCATCAGACTCAGACCCTCAACGTTAGTGCTTTCTACTCTCTCTTCACATAGAAACCAACTTTCAACAATTTAATGTCACAATATTTGTAAAAACATTGATTCCTATATAGTGTTACCTTCGTTATCAATTATCAGCAGACACCGAATTTATTAAGAAGCGAAGAGGCTTTCGTGAATACGATGATATCTGGGTACGTAAGACGGGCATTCTCGTACCGAAACATGTTGTGGCGGCTCCAAGCCTCACAAGTTGTTCGTGCTCGTGACGTGTTTCCTATACAAATGTGTGATAGCAGCAGAGTGTTCATCATTTCGGCAACGCCTAACTTTATTGCGGATAGCCGCAGAGCCTACGCCAAAGGGAGAAAGTCAAGTACGTCTTTACTTCTCTAAGGGGAAGTATTGGTTTTTCTTATACCTTTTGTTTTTAATTTTGAGTTTGTAGATTTAGTTGGAGGAGGGGAATTGGATTAGAACATGTAGAGGCAGTTTGGTAGGTGACTTTGTTTTGTTTTTCACTTGGAATTGGAGTTTTAGCTCACTAAGACTTATTAATAATGTTTACTTTTAAAAAAAAGTCTATGATTAGATTGTATTCTTGGTTATTTATCTTATTTTTATGATTTATTATGGTCCTTCATTATTTAATTTTGGATTGACATGATCCTTCCGAAATAGTAGTTGATTACAGTTGTATACCGTTTTTTTTTTACTGATCTAAGACAATAAACTTGTCTCGGTAAAATTCACTTGTAAGGTAATGTTTGCATCCTTCCAGTTTCATCATATCTCTAGCTGTGCGATCTCCGAAAAGGAAGTTGTTCGGTAGAATTTTGCTTCTCGAGTAGAGTTTCAACCTGTGAATATGGAATGTATAAGTAGTTAAGTTTGCAGAATTTGATGATTGTAACTTGTAAATACAAAACTATGAGGTATGCAATTCTATTTTCTGGTTGCAAATTTCAATCAGTTAAACCTAAGGTTCAAGCTCTTAGATTTTAATGTTGATATGGGATTTTTCTGATTGGAACATGTTGATACTCGATAGCTTGCCGGAACAATTTTCTTTGTTGAATTATTATAGTGGCTGAACCTTTTTTTTGTACGTCTGACTATTATTTTCAATATAGATGTCACGTGATTTTAATTGGCGATGGTTTATACATTTTAGGGGATGAAGGGGGTGTTAGTACAATTGAAGTTCCACCAAACGTTGGTCCTACTATCAAGGCAAATGCTGTCTCACAGATGGAGGCTGCAATGGCTGCATTATCAGCAGAACTAAGCAAGCTACGAACAGGAAGGGCATCTCCAGGTACATTAATCTCACAATTGTTTATAGATTATCTGTGTCTCTTGATGGATAATACTCAAAGACAATATTATGGGCATGTCTCTACAGGAATGCTTGATCATATTATTGTTGAAACTAGTGGTTTGAAGATGCCTTTGAATCGGCTTGCTGTTGTTTCAGTTTTAGATCCAAAAACCTTGTCTGTTAATCCTTATGATCCAGAGGTACTTTATCTTAGGAGTTGGAGTTTGTAGTTACTTTTTTGTAGAATGCTTAGTACTAAACTAGTATTACTTTTGCATGTGATATACTTAATTTCTGCAGACACTTAAACAATTAGAGAATGCCATTGTTTCATCTCCATTGGGCTTAAATCCTAAATCAGATGGTGAAAGATTGATTGCTGTTATTCCACCGTAAGCACATATTCTATTGACATTTAGTTACTCATGCTTGCCAGAGTGAATCTGGTTGAATAGTAGTAGCTATTAAAGAATTTGACATTCAAGCTCATTATCAATTAACTAATTTACTTCTTCACCATGAAATGACCAGATTGACCAAAGAGCATATGCAGGTAAACTCATTACACTCCCTTACTTATTGTTTACAGTTTAAACCTCATCATATATCATGCTGCTATATCTTTCTGTTTGACATTTGTTTCAGGCTATGACTAAGTTGGTTGCTAAATCCTGTGAAGATGCTCGTCAAAGTATTAGAAGAGCTCGGCAAAAGGTTTGGTGTGGCTTTGGTATTTCTTGATATTTTATGGAGGGTTTAACTTTCAGTAATTTAAGGGATTAAGAAAATAGTGTTCTGGAAAAAAATGAAATTCTCTTTTGCTCTAGAATATAAATATTTTCTGGCTTTTTTAACTCTATTTTATTTGGTCAGTCATTGATTAATCTTTTGTGCTTAAACATTAAGATGAATTTTCAAATATGGAATTGGTGCTTTTACTTTTAAATTCATTAATCCCTTTAAAAGTATTACTTGCCTATGTCCTGATCTAAATTACATGTATTTTTTATTATTTAAGATAAATTATTCCAAAGCATAAAAAATCGTGAAGACAGGAGATCCTGGGTTATCTATATTTTCTAGTTAAAAAGGGGGTCCTTTGCCATTAATTTTTCCTTAAGTTTGCCATAAATTTCTGCTGACTGATTAAATTTTTTAATTATATAGGCAATGGATGCGATAAAGAAGCTGAATTCAAGTCTCCCCAAAGATGACATAAAGAGACTGGAGAAAGAAGTAACTTATATATGCTTATTGCCACGTTTATGATTACCAAGTTCCATAACTTCGATAGTTTGATTTCTCATATTTCGTTCTTACAGGTTGATGATTTAACAAAAAAGTTTATCAAAACTGCGGAAGATGTATGCAAGGTAAAAGAGAAGGAAGTTAGTCAAGGTTGAGATTGGCGCTATTTTTCACAGTATCCTGCTTCATTTCTCCTTATAATTTGCTAGAGCATGAAAAGTTGTCTGGTCGCCAAGTGTCATTCAATCAGTCCTATTATATCTATTAGGATTAAGGACTATTCTTCTGGCAATTTTTTGAATACACAAAAGATGAGTCCCCCAGTTTCAACCTATTTGGTTTGGAGTTGCCACCTGGTGCAGGTCACTGTGTATTTGGTTGATGAACATCTTGCGCTTATGGCAACACCCTTTGTTCTAGTCGAAGTTTGTGAACTTTCTGTTCTAATCATGGAGGTTGTGTATATATATTTAAGTGGGAGATATAAGCTAATTGAAGCTGACACTCAATAAAGAGTCAATGATAGGATTTGTTGACATCAAGTTCAATGTTTCACTTTCACCTGTTTTGTAGGTTTGATATTGTCATTGCTTTATATATTACAAACAGAATTCATTGACCATTGATATAAAGACAGTAAAGTTAGCCGACAAGATAAATTTGATTTTACTTTTCCATTTAACTTGAAAAAGTTAAAATGCATAAAAATTATCCGGATATCGATTCTAAACCCAATCATATTGACTGAATAATAGAGTCTCTCACTCTCTCTAAACCCGTTTTCACATAATTCAGAAACTGTGATAGTAAAAGAAGAATGATTACATTGATTTGAGGTCAGGCTGCCTCCTAAGAAGGGAATAAGAGAGGAATGAGAATATATTTTTTCATATCTTCTCCAATAGCATAGTACATCATATAAAGTGTCAGTTTTTAGAAAGATTCCTAGGTTATGTGGTTCATAGCCTTACAATCCCATAACTAATTTTTCTAGAATAAAATAGGGTAAAAAGGGTAATTAATAACATATGTTTAATAATGAATAAAATTAGCCCATCTAACAGGTCTATTATTGATCTTCTTAGCCTCACGTGATCAGTAATTGGGTCTTTTATAACATTACCATCCCCTACGACAAGGACCTTGTCCTCGAGGTCATATAACGATTTAAGCTCATTCCAAATTTTCCAAGAGGTGTTATAAGGAGACAACCCCTTCCATTGAACCAGAGCACGACGGGTGAGAGTACCATCAATAGGAACAGTCTTGAAGTCAAATATAGCCAAAGGAGAAATGAGGGGATTATTGTCAACGAAATCAGGGGGGAGATCATCAATTTGAAGTGGGACCGGACCCTCATGTTTCTTCAGCAAGGAGCAGTGGAAGACATTGTGAATTTTAGCTTGTGAAGGGAGCTCTAGCTTGTAGGCAACTTTTTCGATTCTCTCCAATACCTTGTAAGGTCCATAAAATCGTTTGGACAATTTGTGATACTTGCTGCCTGACAAAGAGGTTTGACGATATGACAACAATTTCACATATACCCAAGAACCAACATAAATTGTAACTCGCGGCGCTTGGAATCTGCATTTTTTTTCATGCGAGCCTGAGCCTTAGACAGATTAGTCCGTAGGATAGAAAGGATTTCCTCTCGTGAAGAGAGTAAAGAATCATAGCCAACATTTGTAGAAGAACCATCAACATAAGCAAGGATAGATGGAGGAGGTTTACTATACACCACTTCAAGTGGGGTTAACCCCGAACCCGAATGAAACTCAGCCCAAGGGAGGTACTTGAACCAGTGATACGGTTTGTGATGGGTAAAGGCATGAAGGTATTGCTCCACCGTGCGGTTCATGACCTCAGTTTGACCGTCCGTTTGAGGATGGTAGGAGGAACTCATGCGCAACAATGTTTCGCTGAATTTGAACAAATCAGACCAGAATTTGAACAAATCAGACCAGAATTTGCTAATGAAAATAGGGTCTCTGTCGGACACAATACTTTTTGGTAGACCATGATGTTTGCAGACAATAGAGACAAATAATTCCGCAACCTTATAAGTGGTGAAATTGGAGTGTAAGGCGCCAAGATGGATGGCCTTACCATAACCAAAAGAACAGTGTAACCATTGGAGGGAGGGAGACTTGTGATAAAATTAAACGAAATATCCTCCCAAACACCAGTGGGTAGCGGAAGAGGTTGGAGGAGACCCCCAGGCCGTTTAGTGTTGTACTTTGTCTGCTGACAAACCACACATTGGGAGACAAAAACCTTGACATCATGAGCCATAGAGCTCCAATGGAAATTGTCACTGAGCTGACGCAAGGTTTTGGCAATACAGGCATGTCCTCCTATCGGGGTCTCATGGAACTCACGTAACAAGAGAGGCACAAATTTGGATTTACTTCTAAGCCAAATTTTACCGTCATATAAAAGGAGTCCATCATACACAAGAACAGAGGCACTAGTCATTGCTTGCTTGAGATTGCCAAAAGCTGTTTGAGCCACAGAGGACTAATGAAAGTTGCCACGCTTGAGAAGGTCAGTAAATGGTTGTGCAATCGTGGCATAACCCTTGACAAATTTCCGATAAAAACTTGTCAGATCCAAAAATCCCCTAAGGCCCTTAATTGTGGAAGAGGCAGACCAATCAACCATCGCTTGGACCTTGGATGGATCAAGGGAAACAGTTCCCAGAGTGAAAATATGACCCAAATAATCAATTTGGGATTGTGAAAAAACAACATTTCTGTGGTTTGAGGAAAAATCGATGATGAGCCAAAATATCAAACACCTGCTTTAAATGGGATAAGTGCTGATTGAGATCACTACTAAAGACCAATATATCATAAAAAAACACAATAAGGGACTTACGCATCAGTGGCCTAAAGATATCATTCATGGTAGCCTGGAACGTAGCCAAAGCATTACACAGCCCGAATGGCATAACTCGATACTCAAAATGCCCATCGTGGGTGCAGAGTGCGGTTTTATGCACATCAGAAGGTTGCAATCGAATTTGATGAAAAACTGGAAGTGAGATCCAACTTAGAAAAACAACGGGCAGAACCAAGTTCATCCAATAACTCATCCACCGTGGGAAGGGGGAAGCGATCCTTCATTGTTATGGCGTTCAAGGGTGTCGTCACCGTCAAAAGAGGCGATCGGAGTGACGCGATTGTTTTGTTCGACTCGCATTTTTAAAAGTGTGGTTCAACGCTTTTTAGGTTGTCCGATAACCGGGCTGGACCTAAAAGCGAGGTTTTCGAAAGGTTCGAGGAGTCGCCACCAATATTTTTACCAAAAACATTGAAAAAGGAAAAAGAAGACAATGATTTTTTAAAGAAAAACCAACTTTGGTCATTACAACCAGGGTTAGGTAAGAGAATTAGTTACGTGTAGGAAAGATATTAGCTTCCCTATGATGTCCCTTTCGGATTCCTTATGATGGACCGTTTTTATAAAGAAATAAGAACTTTAAACCACACTTTTACCCTTATTTATTTATTGCAAAAATTAAGTTATTGACTACATGACTCTAAATGACTAATGCACAACGATATTATCTAAAAAAGCGATAAAGTAGAGAAAGGAGTATGGAGGAACCTTCAAAACAAACTTTTATAATATGTTCTTGAAAAAAGGGTACTTTTTGGTAAATCCCACGCTCTACAATGATGATCGCTCTTTCTCGCAACACTCTAAAACGTTTTTCTAAGAACTCTGGAAATAGGGATGACAATTAAACCCGTCCCCGTGGGGATCGACCCGTCTCCGCCCCGAGTTTGACGGGGAAAACTTGAGTTGACCAGGGGCGGGGGCGGGTTCGGGTTTTCCCCGCTTTAAAAAGTCGGGAGCGGGGGCGAGGATGGGTAATGCAATCCTCACCTCAACCGCGTCCCCGTCCTCGCCCGACTTTATATTTAAATTTAAATTTTAAAATATTAATATTTTAAAAGTATTTCTTTTACTTTTTCTATTACATATAAGGTCATTTTTTTATATTTGACCAAATTTTTTTCTTCTACCCACTTTTTAATTTTTTTGTCTTTTTAATCTTTTATATAAATTAATTTATTACATTATTCTTTCTCTTACCTTTCGAGTATTTCACATTTCCTTAATCTCTCCCATCAATTTGTTTTTTTTTCAATCTTTTCAACTAATTTGATGAACACAAAGTTAAATTTTTTTATTCTTTATCTTTTTCTAAATATTTTACATAAATATTAGTAGTAACTAATATTATTTTATTTATAATTTATATTTATTAGGTTTTATTATGTCATTTTTTTTATCTTATTATTCTTATTTATCATATATCAAATTTTATCATAATAAAATAATTGTATTTTAAAGGATTAAAGGAATTGATAATTTAAATTTTTATTACTTCGAACTAATTGAATAAGAATTAACTTATTAAATATTCTTTATAAGCTATATATTTCATATTTTTAAATGACAACTTAAAAATGAATTTAACTTATATATATATAATCAAATGTTTGAATACAGTATTATAATAATAGTGTTATAAATATTAAAATATTTGAATACAGTATTATAATAATAATAATAATAATAATAATATTATTATTATTATAAATAAAAAATAATTAAATATTTCTTTTGCATACATATTTTAATATAAATATAATAAATTAAAGTATATATTTAATTAATAATAATTATAAATTATAAATATTTATTTATATATAAAAAATAGATAGTAAAATTAATTTATTATAAATATAATTATCTTTTTAAAAATAATATAAATCGGGGACGGGCGGGGGTGGGGAACCCGAAACTCAGCGGGGACGGGGATGGGGACTTAATTTCTAACCCCGTGGGATCGAGGCGGGGACGGGGATGGTTAAAATAGTCGGGGCAGCGATCGGGGAGGCAAAATCCGCCCCCGCCCTGTCCCGTTGCCATGCCTATCTGGAAATGCTTCAAAGGGGTCCTAGGAGAGTAATTTGAGAGTAATATAGTAGGGAAAGTTGTAGAAGTGTGTGAAAAGAGTGAGAACGTCTATCATTTTATAGGAATTCGCACCTGTCAGATTGTGACCACCGTCTTGCTTTACAAGGTCGGGACTGCTGTCTCGCCAAATGAGACGGTTGTCTCGCCTTCGGCAAGTGGCGAG